TTATGTCAAAAATTCAGTAAATACGTGTACCACATGGTATCTGGTTTCCTGGCTGATCTGACTTCCGTTAACAGGGATTATCCACTGGCCAATGTTTCATAACAGACGATTAGACCAATGAAGCAATACCCATGTGATAGACCCGTACTCAGGCCACAAACCGGATATCAACTTTCTTTCTAGACTACCGTATACTCTTTGCCCCGAAGAACCTTACGAAACAGAGGGGAAAGTCAACAAGCTGAACTAATCTCCACTCGATGGTGTCAGGGTAAGAACTGTGGGACCACATAACAGTGGGGTGAGTAAGGTATGATGAGGGAAGCATGGGCGGGTGGATTTTCCTTGCAGCACTTGCTTTGTTTCCCTCCCATCAACATGGCTTTTCATAAATCAGGACAAATAGTTCATTACGAAGAAATATCACTGAATAAAAATGTTTTGCGTACTGTAGCTGACATGCAGTTACCAAAGCAATCAAAAAGCTAATCAGAAACGACGTGGTCTTTGTAGGTCCTTGTTTATAGCTCATGAATCTGGTAGAAAAACAAGTTGGGTTTATGGCCATCGCGCAAAAGTTCACGTAGAATGATCAAGACTCAAACTGGCGGAAATATGACTTGTGCTTGGTTTTCAGAAGCTCCCGCCATCGAAAATTCTGCACCACTAAAATAGTGAATGGAAGAAAGGAGGAAACTTGGCCTTGATCAATCTAGTTTTTGGGATGCCCCAGAATCTAGGTGGTGGTTTGAAGGCGTATGCGGCTTACGCAATGAGATGCGGTGAGCCTATGTACAAGTCAGTGCTTTTATCCTCCCAGACGAGCCTGGTACCAATCAACCGATCCCCGGATCGGTTTGCCGGGCGGATATCCTGGACTCGATCCTCATAGCATGTGTATGTGTATGCGATAGTGCCATTACTTGCCACTCCACCAATCCCGCCGGCATTAAGGGTTACCCACTATCCTAGCTCGTAACTCTTGGTGTGATAACCACAATTTTGGACTCTTTCGGTCTTGTGAAACTTCTACCAAAAATATGACAGGGTCAAAGAGTCAAAGTATAGACTAAATTGCTAGAATGCTATGGTAGGCGCCCTAAAACTTTAAAACTAGTCGTTTAGTATACGCCACGCATACTACTTCCCATAAGGTCCGCAAACTAGCTAATAAAACGGATAGGTACGATATTCGGACCGGGAACAGGGGGTGATCCCAGGAAGAAGCTTAAAATACACCTATGTGCTGACGAGCTATTTTGTTGCAGAATTCGAAATGACGTCCGAAACACGGTGACGGTACCAGACAGCTCGTTAGGAATTTCCTGAATTTAATTCAATAAATAAAGTTGGTTATGTTTGTTTTGCATAACGCCATACTACGAAATGGCTATTAGTTGAGTAGTATTCATCTGATTGCTATAAGTTGGCTCAAAAACAATTCTTGTTTTCTCAAACGGAAATTAAAATAGAAGTTTGTAGTAGATGATTTATCGTGACTATAGGAATGAATTATCTATCAGATATCCCTTAATGATAAGGGAAATACAATTAGAACAATCAGCTTGAAGCATACGGTAGGTTAAAGCTATTGGTTAAATGCCACGGACATTCCATGATCCATGATATTCGGCAAAGGTGTTCTCTACAAAAATGATAATCCTTTTGCTCCCAAGCAATCTGAAAAAGGGTGCAACCGAAACCGATCTAGACAGACGATAATTGAACCTTTAGGTAGGGAGCAAGAGTCGAAATAGGAAATCTCCGCTTTGCAAGGTGTGCCTCTCTACTGAGACCTCTCTGACATAACAACTTTTCTATAGGTAGGACTTACAAATTACCGATTCCCAGCTGCACACCGATAGCCATCCACGCCAACCAAGCTATCCATACCTCCGGGGTCCGCTAATTGATAGCAGACTCGTTTGGGAGGATAAAAGCACTGAAATGTACATTGGGTGGCTACTGCAAGTAATAGGCCACATACGTATCCAAAGGGCCACTACTATTCTGAATTAGAATTTGATGGTAGGGACGCACCGCAGAGACGCGAATGACTGACGCCCAAGACTTTTATCTGAAGGTTAAACTACAGTGTGCCATAAATATGGTAACAAAAGAATTGGGCTACAAAAACAGCAGTTCATATTGATAGGTGGTGAATTCATGTGAGTTATTTACTGTGCATCACACCTACAAAATGAACACACGGTCATCTTGTAGATCCGTCTACTCCAATAATCATAGCTCAAAGATGCTTCGGCTACTCATCGACGGCTGCACGCAGAGTTTCTTGAGAAACTCCAGCCTGAGATTTTTTCAATGGTTTACTATGAAGAGCAACAGTGGTGCATTATGAAGCGCAGGCCTTCCTCTATAGTATGAACTACATCCAAGTGCGCCATAGTTTTCGAATCGTATCCCTAAAAAATCTTCGATCCTCAGCTGCATCCTTTCAGGAGGGCTGTTCGTAATACGTTTTAGATTAAATTTTGCACTTTTTTAGACCAAAATTTGCGACATCGCTCTGATTGTAGAGCTTCTAACAAAAACTATCATCAAAGAGCGAAAATTGCTATGAGAGGCGATCTGACTCTTCTTAGCGGCTTCAGCACTCGAAATGTGAAATACATGCATACTTTGGAGTCTCAACATTTCTTCCACGCTGAAGTCCCTTTAGTCAAGGATAGGATTGTCGAAGCGCGTGCCGCGCGCAAGTAGCGCACGGCATTTATTTTTTCTCTCCAACAACTTCTCGCCAAGAAGCTTATAGGGCTTTCGAATCTCATCTGTATACCATTGTATTTACTAGGAGTAGACTCTTCTCATCGGAGTGCAACATAAAAACAAATCAGCAGTCATTTTCTTCGTATTTCGACAGGTTTTGCATCATACTCCTTCCCAGATAATTCTATTCGGAAAAGGGGTTGGGTGCGAGACAAGACGCATCGTGAATCAAGAGACTGTCAGTGGGGAAAATGTTGAAACGAGGAGAAATCCCGGAAAGAGACTCAACAAATTCGCGCAAAGACGGAATGGGCGGTGGATGTCTGCGAGGCTCCACGGTTTTTCAAAATCTGACGAATTGAGAGCTTCAAAGTGGATATGTAGTCTAAGGTATATCGTAAACATAATGGAAGGTGCAGATTTGGAGAAACCTTCGAAACAGGAAAATTCCGGATGTCCGAAAAGTTGTTATCATGTTTATGGCGCACCCAGTATGTTAAGGAGAAGAAAGGGAAGGGAGGGGTCGACAGACTAGTTCAATTACCTTTTCTTACGTGCCCTTAGGCAGAAGCTATCACTTCATTCTGAGATCCTCGCTTCATAAGATTAACGGCAGAGCAAAAAAAAATGAAAAATCAAGATTGAAGGCAGAAGTGCATCGCAAAGCAGCTGAATGAAAACCATAATGAGATCATTAAGAGCTAGTGATTGGATTTTGGTTCACAATCGTTCCATCAAAAAGCAGAGGGTGAAAGAAATGAGGCACCTTAAGAGGATAAGGATTTCCATAACATTGACTAATCCGTTCTTTGCAGGGTGAGCCAACGCTTCCGAATTTCCCTTACGAGTCGTCGTGACGTTTGAATATGTATTTGGTCTGTACGTCGAAATGAGGGGCTACCAATGTCGGAGATATGTCTTTCTCTCGTGCAGGCAAAGGTGGTACCAAATGGATCACCAGTAAAGGAACGATGACGGTTATCCTAAGCGAGCATCTATCCAGTAGTTCGTTACGCGTCCCAGTTGTCTTGGGCAAGTATCTGCCCGGGAATTGGGCACTAATCATACGTGTGGCTACTTTATTTCTTCCAAAGAGGCAACTTACACCCTAGAAACCTCCTAAAGTTCGTCATGAATTCAAAATTCAGCTGTCAGTCTTCTTATGAACCCGAGAGCGCTCCTGGGCAATGATCAATTGAAACATGCGAAGTTTCAATCATCTTTCTTTCATAATGAGACCACCCTTGTACCAGTGAAGTGATTCAGAAGGGGTGGAGCCTCGAGAACCAAACCAGCTGAGTAGAGTGGAGTCTAGTGGACGAGATATACTGTTCACTTAACGAAGGGTCTAGACAATATGCAGCCAGCGCCATGATCTTTTTACACACTGATACACTTACCTGGTTTCTCCATGACTTCAAAGAGCAGTTTTACTCCTTAGAAATCGAGGTGTTGATCAGGCATTAAGAGATAAGACACGCATTCGTCTTACCTTCAAGATTCCAGCAAAATTCAGGCCTCCATATAAAAATAACAACCGCTGGCACAGATCCTATGGATTTTTTGAACCTCAAAAAGCCTAGGTGACACCTTTTGCCGTCAGAGTGTTTTAATCAGGGAATTTCTAATTTTTCCTTGACTCTCAATTTAGTTTTATATGGAGCAATCCACTATTGATAGGAGTTTCCTTACTGGGCGAATAATAAACAAAAAGGTTGGTACCTACACAAGGGGAAGGTGTGGCTGAATGCACTTAGGAGACCTAACATACTTCTTGCTAAGTGAAAAGAGCTTCGATGAGGGCACTTGACCATCTTAAAGGGCTCATTAGATCACTGTCAAGACGTAGAGGTCCTTTTCCAACCCCATGATCATGGCAGCCTACATATCTGGCCTCAGCGATTCATTCATTTGGAATAAAATGATCAAATAGTCGTTGATAAGCAATCCATCATGACCACCAATGGATAAATCCGTCAACAGACCTGTCTCGAAAGATGTGGACAATACCAATGAATACGTGGTCGCCCATCAAGCATGAAATCTGTGCAAAAAGTTATCAATCACCGAACGAGTTTCAGTTTTCATCATCAACCATGTCCAGTCCTAGCATTAAGCATGTTCATCAGTTCCAAGCATCTTGACAATGTTCGAATTTCAGCGACCTTTCAGCCTATCCATCTATTTGCTCGGTTTCGATCCAATGTCTCTATATTCATATCATTTTCCAGGTTAGTTCCATTCCAAAAACTTTTGTTTACCGATTTGTTCAGATGAAATCAACCCTGGTGGCGCTCTTCGTTTTCGCTATTTTGACCGAAGTGGAAGCTCAGAAAACAAGTAAGTATTCAATTGCAATCGAAACCCTTCAGCCTCCACAGGTCACGGTCAAGCGCAAGAAGCGTCGGAAGGGTTGTAGCCGTCTTTTTCTAGTAGAGGGCTTGAAAGGGCGAATGTAAAAGGTAAATAAACTAATGAGTGGTCTCTGTTTGAGGATAAGAAAACCATTTTGCTCGTGATTATTAATCATGAGCAGTCATTAGTGTCAACCCTTTAGCTGAAGCGCCAGCAAGCTTTTCCAATACTGCATAGGAATGGGACCTTTGGCCTCGGAGGGCCTCTTTATTTATTTTTTTGTTTATTTGGACACGCGAACGGACTTCGCGCGAATACAAATACAACAAAGTTCCGTAGAACAACATGACATGCGACTCTTTGGGCTCAGACTAATCTGCTAAAAATGGTAAGTTCATCTAGTAAAAAAAATGAAAGCTACTAAAGGAAATAGAACAATGAATAGAGGGGTCCCGTCCAGAGGTACATGAATGGTACCCCCTCCGAACTCAAAAGTTGGTCCCTATTACCAGTAGGCAGTAGCTGATTCGTATGGGAGGTTAACAACACTGTAATTTCTCTACCAACTATCCCATCAAGACTTGTGCGGATGTCTTTCTCCATAGATCACTGTCCTGATCCTTTATGAAACTCGTTAATGAATCTGTTTTAGAATTTTGCAATATCAAAGTGCTGAAAAGGGTGTTCACGGATCTCTATCCGGTGAAACTGGCTGGCTATGACGGGAACATTGTCCCTCACGGTTCAGAGTTCGTCACCAGATGTCTGAAGGAAAACGGACGTGAGTTTTAGCATTCAGTTAACGTTGGTCCACTGATTTTCAAATATTGTGTATATTTTTTGTTAAAGTTATACTCACCCTAAAATTCCATAGCTAATAGCGGTTTATTTCTCGAAGTATTTCATAAACGTTCGAAACAACACAGGAAAGGCGTTTCTAAGCCGACATACAGGTCATAAGGCCCAAAGCGAGAAGACCAGGGTTCGACGTAGGAAATCATGGTCCAAAATAGGGAGACCAGGATCATATGCCGGGAGGGGGACCAGGTTAGTATGGTCCGAAGTGGGGGTTAGGGTACAAAGTTGGGAAGTAGGATCATAAGCCTGATTGGAAAGTCTGGCCACTTCTATCTATGTACTTTCGGAGCCTTTAATTGTTGAAAGTTTTAGCAGGATCAATTCACTGTCCGACAGACTTTTGATTTTTCAGTTGTTCGTAGAAACTGGACCAGCTATGAGTGCATCGATGGGAAATGGAAGCCTGATGTACCGCGTAATCTTGACTGTTGGATAGCGGATAATTAACTGGAATGGATCGAATTAAATGAATTCTAAGAAAACTGCGTAATTTCTACAACAAAGAAGTTGCATTTTTTTCATTTCATCCATTCCTTTCATTTGAAAACCATTTTGTAATTTTTCTGTAGAGTTTCGATTTGTGTTATTTACCTTCTAAGCATTCAAAGATGTCCGTGATTGGAAAATTGTATGACCATGATAGGGTCATATTTAATAACAGATAATAAATGTAATATGATATAGTGATCACATTTGTGATTTATTCTATTGAACCGTCGCATTCATGGCAGTAAAACGTCTTTATCATGAAGTGCCTATAAAGAACCGATTACTTTGGAATGAGCCATGCATGTGGAGTTCTCTCGGAATCTTATGACCGTTTGGAAGCTCACTTCATCCGCACATTTTGGCCATCCTTTGCTCTACTCAGGCTTTTGCTTGACTTTGATGGCAGTAAAGCGCAAATTCTGCTCTACAGTTCAGAGTCATCTCGATTTCCAGCCCACCGAACCCTGTTCGTTTAGCCTTTAGAGGGGAATGAACCGAAGCAAGGCGGTCAATGAAGACGTCGGGATGCAGCAGTACTAGGAAACTGACTTCCGGAAGGTTTCTGAACTGAACTTCAACCCGTACTCGTGCTTTCCGGGACTACCGAGACTTCGTCTGCCCTCGTCTTCTGAATGGCTTTATTCGTTAATGATAACTCTTTGCACAGTATGCATAAGCGAAGTCTTCAAGCCAGCTGCTTCATAAATCTTCAGCATGGAAATAAATCTTCCACGACCAAAAAAACCCTGTTCTGGATTTTTCTCTTTAAGCTAATTTCGTCCACAATGTCGAGATGCAAATGAAGCTTTGCAGTGTGAGTAGCAGAAATTTCAATCCACTCATACCAGTCTTTTCAGTGATGGTTCTACGAAATAGGTCTAGGGCGAGAAACGTCCACCAAAACAAGTATTCTCCTTATAAGGGGTAGGTGGGTTGAAGAAAGCGCTGAAAAGAGGTGAATGGGAAGCTTTGGTACAATTTTCAACTGAAGCATTGTGTACTGTGTAGGCCGCCAGACGAAAAAAAACACCCTCAAGGAGAAGCCTGTGTCGAAAAAGGTGTGATCTTTGGAGGTAATGTTGATGCTAAAGAAAGGTCTCTTTTTCACGGAACCTCGATGAACCGAACAATCTGATGGAACGCCACGGACGTTGAAGCAGATTGTCCCTAACTCGGCCGATGAATGTAATATGTGCAAATAGGGTGTTTAAAAACGTGTGTATGTATATTTTTGCTCCTTTTTTCAATTTTTTTTT